AAATTAATTTAGTATGTATAAGTATTTTTGTTCGATTATTAGTAACGGAGAAAATTAAAAAAAATTTAAATTTAAAATTCCCATGTTATTCTTATGGAGAATATTGTCAAATGTTGTAGTTTCTTTGTTTATGGATATATTTTTTGCAAACTTGGCAAATTTATTTATTTTGTACTAAGCTATCAATATTTTACTCAAAAACACACTTTATTAGTTTCCTTGTAGCAGCAAACCTAGGTACTTGTTAAACCTAATGTTATTAAAATATATTTAATTGAAAATCAATTCAGACGAATGGAAATTCGCTTAGTCGGCAGGTTTGCTGCGGCGGGGGTATTAAATTCTAAGATATTATTGAACTTCTTGACAACTCCAGTATGCTATCACAACTCACAACACTAGATGAGTTAAAAGGAAAGATAAGTTTTATAAATTTGTTATAGATACCCTGTATTTTAAAACTTTTTGAACATTTGGAAACAATATTATTATCACAGAAGATATGTTTAAAATGCATGAATATGAACAGAATGCATGCATAATGTATGGATAAAATGTTGATGTGTTCTTTTGTTGATCAATTTTTTTACTGAACAATAGATTTTTATCAAAAATAAATTGGTTTAAATATAATACAGGAAATCGGTATAGTGAGTTAATACTGAACATGTGCATCTATGTTCAAACAAATAGTTAGAACCCGTATGTTAGGGTACTCGATGTATTTTATATTTTGTGGAAAATTTCTGAAAAGTTTGAATAGCATTTCCAACTACGCACCTGAAAGTGGAGATTTTACTCGACAATAACATGTGGAACAATAAAGTTTACATGAAAACGTCAGAGGAGACAGGACAATATCCTTGTTGTATTAAATTGGATTTTTACAAAAACAGCCGGACCAATTTTAGTTCAAATTTAGTATATGACCCTTTTAACTCTAGACAATATGGTACAGCCCACAGCCCCAAACACTGTAAAAAAAATGTTCAAAGGTTAAAACATTTTATGTGATTTTCCCCATTAAATAACACAGTTACTACCACTGCTTACCCATTCAAAGGGTTGTTAACAAGCTAATAGAAGAAAGGATGTGTCAGTTTGCTGATACCGTATATTTTAATGCTCGATGGTTCAAAGTTGCAGTTTGACCTAGAGAAGCACTAGAAAGGTTAATAAAAAATGTATTTTGATAATTTATCTATCAAAAATAATAGTAGGCGGCTTCATACATTAGGCCTTACCTGTATGAACTATTACAAATACACCACTTTACAATACGAACCACATTCACAGAATTTAACATGTGGTTTAATTTTTAACATCATTTTTCAAATCACAGTTTTATATATCAAGTTTACTTGGAGATGAATATTTCAGGTTTTAGAGTTGATGAAGTAAAATCACAGTGGGAAAGTTTATATAAGAATACTCAAAATTTCACAAGGAATGCAGAAGCTTTGATTCACAGAAAAGATCCAACTTTAAACATCCTTAGAACTTTCTCTCTTGCAGATTCTTAACTTTACATTTGGCCATAGTTTTACTTTTAAGAAGCATTATTACTTTCATCTTATTATAAAGGGAGATACAATTCTTTATTTCTCTTAACCATTAAAACAGAGTTTCCTTGCTAAAATTCTTATTTTTATTTTACTATTGACTGTAGGCTAAACTGTAAACATTAAATAACATTTACAGATTCACAATGTGTTTCTGTTGAGATCCGTGGAAAGTGTTTCCTTTACAATTCATAAAAACTGGTTATACAGTATTTATAAAAAAAGGTTTTGTACAAGGAATAGTAATTTGTGTAACTAGTGTGCAAAGTGGCACTTTTCTGCACACGAGAGAATGTTTACGCACAAACCGTAGGCGAGTGTTGCAAAGGCAGTTTGCACTCCTGTTACACATTATATTTTAACTACAGTTAAAATAAATAAATAAATCATAGAAATAATTAGTCTTTCAGACACTGTACAACACGTTTTTAGGTTAGATTAAATCCAAACATTGAACGAAATGTCTGCACCAGCTGATTGTAGTCATAATATCTTTAAGTGTTGCAAACTTATTTTCAAACTGGTGTGCGCCAAAGTAAAAGCTGTGCGTCAAAGTAAGGCTTTCTGTACTATAATCTGTGCACTTTGTCAGGTGACTGTAGGAAAAATAAATATCTCAAGCATGGAAAAGAAATTTATTTCTATAAATTCAATTATGTAATAAATAAAAATGCACAATACATATTTTAAAATACAAAAAAAATACAATACCCTACACAACACTAATATTTGCATTAACAAGCAATTGGCTTTGTCTGGCAAAAGTAACTTATATTTTACGGTACAACCCTACTCAATAGGAACCAAGTCAAATTTAAATTACAGATTAAAATACAAAGCATTTAATTTTACATAATTTGTTAGTGCCACAGCACATAGATCTTTACTTCTCTTGAAACATTTAGAATGGGATTATTTTACAAGTTAGAACCATTTAAAAGAAGTAAATGCATAAGCATACAGTACTGATACTTGGAATAATATATTTAGTTGCATTTAAAGAGCAAAATAATTTTTAAGATTCACTAAAATAATTATTAGTTTTTTTACAATTTGGTATTATGTTAACAGCCAAGGAATTAAATTTGTTACCAAACTAGTTTGAAAAGTTAAATTTTGCAGACAAACGCAAACTGCTTGAATGAAAACTAATACAGTTTTATATACTACACTATCTTCATCAAACTCGTTTAATGTTTACCATTGCTATAGGTCAAACTCATCAAAATGCACATCAAGCTTATCTACATATATTACAGTTTGCAGTATTCTGCAATAAAACAGAACAAAGCACAGGGTGGTTTAACAATAACACAAACTAGACCAAAGAAACAAACAAAAATCTAAAATAATATGCTAAAACTACAACTGAACACCTGTGGTACCGATAAAACTTTACACTAAAAAAATATATAACAAAACACTTTAAAATATTCACTAACAAAATTTAAATAAAAGCTTTTTGGCTTTTCTTCTGAGCGGTGCTGATAACACACAGTTCTAACCAGAACTCTATAAATAGGCAGTCGACTAACAAAAATGTGCAAATTGCATTGATGAAACCAAAACACAGTGATGGTGCACCACTGGTAAGACAGACGCACACATGTGTGTATTTGAATCTGAATGTGAATGAAGGGTGTGTGTTTGAATGGAATTATATTAATGTTCTTATCTAAAATACGACCCTGGCAAATTACAATGAATCTAGATTTTTACCCTTCTGGTATATTTAACCATAGACTAACCAACACAAGTAGACTTCTCATCCCATTGTAAATTTTGAAGCCCATTTTACGTGTCTAGTTCACGTCCTTTGACACTGATGGCTAGTGTTGACATAATCTTGTTTACCTATATTATTTTAGGGTTGATTTCATGATTGAATCGTTTTATTTGGTTAATGAGGTTTTAAATTACTGAAATAATAAGAAACAAATTGTTAACAAAACACGACCTCTACAGTGCACCAAAGTGAATAATAAAATTGTCTTCAGCTGATCCATAAGGATGAGAAATCCGCTAAGGGTATGTTTTATCTTTATCATAGACTAAGCAACACAAGTAGACTCCTCATCCCATTGTAAATTTTGAAGCTCGTTTTTCATGTCTAGTTCATGTACGTCCACACTCATAGAATCGCTAGGGTAGACAAAATTTTGTTTCTATTATTTCATGATTCGTGCTTTACTATTTATTTGGTTATAACTAGGTGACCAGTTATTGTTTACGATTTTATTGTTTTATTTGGTTAAATGAGGTTTTAAGTGACTGAAATAACAAGAAAAAAAAATGTAAACAAAACACAACCCCTACAGTTGGACGTACAGAACTAACAATATAATTGGCTTCAGCTGTTCCATAAGGATGGCAAATCTACTAAGGGAGTATGTTTCATCTATGGTTTTATCATTGACTATTGGATACTGAAGTATTGAAGTTATATTAATAGTCAAAGCTTTTTATCTATGCTTTAACTTAGACTTATGTCTCATAATAGTATAACCTATTAGTCTCATACCTCACAGAGGTAAGATCAGTTTATTACCTAGTTCATTCTCATTTCCAAAACATTCTGCATGACAATATTTACAATACCAGACTTTTGAAACTAATCTTAAAAGAAATGAATATCGCGGGTTGGATTCCAAGCAATAGATTCTAGACCCAATGCCTTGCTTGTGCTATTGAACTATTAATTAATGGCTCTTGTCTTACAAAAAGATTTACGTTAAAACAGTTACATGTCCAATGTTTGACCAGTCACTTACAAAAACGTGATGCAATAGCATGGCTAATGGTTTACAAAGTAAACCAACACAGAATAAAGTTTCTCACCTTTCTCGGTTGAGAAGTGTTGATAGTTTCAGTGTTTTCTTCACCTCAGATTTTAGCCCATAGTGAGTCACAACTTCAGCAGGATCATAGTAGTAAAAAAACCAAAATGTATGACGAACAATAGGCTAGCTAGTAGTATATAAACATAAAGTATATCTTTCTTCCACTTGCATTCGACACTTTTTCGTACCATCCATGTACAAAGAAAATATTTAACCACCTGGCATTCGTAAAATAGTTCAACATGCTCTATTCACAACTTGTCTTCTGAATTTCTATAAGAGAGTTAGTATCGCAGTTTAATCTGAAGAAAATTGTTTTATGGTCCAAAACTGCATTCAGTTGTTAATGATCACCAATTTTCACTCAATTTTTATTAATGATGCTAAAACCCCAGATGGTCCAAGTCAACAACAGTGCTACAAAATGCAATTCAACACATCTCTTATTTATCATACTGTCGCTTAAAATTAGACTAAGCTTCATGTCAAGTCATTAAATGTACCTTAACTAATATTACAAGGTTGATTGAATCTTTTTACACATCACCAAAACATGCTCTGCATTATTTTGTAAAGTGATGCATACGGTATAAATTAAATCTACTTAAGATAATTTAAAATCTTTGTTTAAAACAACTTTGATATTAATTCTAGCTTCATGTTGCATTTTTGTAAAATAAAAACTAACTATGTCGTTGCAGCTCTAAAACAGGCTATTCACTTGTGCAATATTGATTGATGAAACATATTTCAAAAACAAAACCAAACGTTATACTTGGTGAGGAAAATATGTACGAATTTACCCCTCCGACAACCACTGCAGTAATTACCAGCCTTGAGTGTAAAACCAACTGTTGTTATATATGATTTTTTAACTAAAAAAGTCAGACATATTACAGTTTAGAGATTTTCCACATGTCTCACTAGTCTGCGCTGTTGAAACAAAGGGAGGTAGGCCTAACATAAAATATGAGCAACTCTAGAGTGTGACTAAGAAATTTGGCTAACAATTATAGCCTGGGTCATTATAAGTTTTCCTTTTCCTCTTGTTTAAGTTTCTTGTGGTAGTTGGCCAACGTCTTTTCAATCGTAGTCTCCGAGTATTTGCATTTCTCAGCACCACAAGTGCATGTAAACATGTTCCTCTTGATTATCCAAAACTTCTCCCCATAGTCAAATCTGTAAAAAAGTTTATTTTGATTGTACTTTCAGTTATTCACGAAATTATACAATGGTTAGTAAAGATTAGGTAAACAGTATCTTTATGTTAGGCCTACCATCTTCAGAAAACTTTCAGCATGTGAATAAAGAAGGATTTGCATTCATTCATTCATGTGTTAATATAATTTTTACAATTTTAAAAAGAGTGTTTTGTTTACAAGCCTTTGTAAGTCTCTTAAACCTTAATGGTCGTATCCAACATAAATAAGAATGACACTCTTATGAGTATTGGTTTTCTTTCAAATATTTTACCTAAAGAAAATCAACAGTTCTTACTGAATATGAAGAAGAGTTGTGTAATTAATAAGTTTAATAAGTAAACCAAAACTCAAATGATTTTTACATAGCTAAGCAGTTGCACTGTTCTGATATCAAAAGGTAATAATTTGTTCCATACAAACAGATCATCAATGTTTAGATGAAAGAAGATACGGTTGATGACATATTGAGTCTGGAAAGAGCAAGAAAAGAACTCTGAGAAATCATAAACAGTCAGAATACTCAATGAATCACATGCAAAAATGCTACGTAGAAAGTGTTGTTGTGACTTGGGTAATTTTACGGAAACAAGGTGCTCAAATACCTTATCACAAATTGTAAACAAAAGAAGGTAAGAAACCCCTTGATTTATTCCTTTAACTATGTCAAACAAATCGATTACTTGGTTCATTCCCTACCATTAGATTCTCCATCACCTTTTGTAAATCACAGTTTTACGGCTGGATAGCTTTGCTACTTACGCAAGTTCATCATTAGCCTGTATGTCCTGGTTGGCAAAGAAGGCTATACGAGGGAAGTGCAGGTCCTGATGGTCAATGAACACTCTGACTGGTAGCAAGTTGGGTTCACAGCTGTGGTTGATGAACCTGGCAATGTTGCCGTACTTGCGAGCGTCTATACAGTACGTCTCTCCGTCCTAATGTACATCAGATGATAAATGTTGCCGCCCACAATGAAGACACAGCTTTGTATTTTAAACCTGCTTTAGTAACTTATCTGCGACTGATAGGAGGCTAGTGCTAGTGCACTTTGCTTACTAACATTTATAAAAATAAACAAAGGTTAAAGCACTTTTTGCATAAAGTAGCTTTATAATGGTAGCCAAAGAGACAGATAAGACAAACAAGGTATGTTAATATATTGAATTTGAATTTCATAGTCTTGGTGGCAAGAATGTTTAAAATGCATAACATGTTTAGAAGCCAACCATACAATTGACAAAATCTCACAAATTAAAAAAAAGGACTCAAGAGGTGTGAAAAAAGTGGAGAATGTCAAGTATGACATAGACAGACAATTTCTAGATAGAAAATAGTATATTTCATTACTAGGACCGAAAGTGGCATTTTCCGTCGCGCGCCCAAGTTTTTGTGTGAGGCGAAGCCGAACACAGGGAACCCCAATTTCACGTGCGAGGCGAAGCCGAGTATGTGAGAGCTATTTTCACGTACGAGGCGAAGCCGAGGACGGGAATAATGGAGCAAGTGCCGGATAATAACTTTCGGTACGAGTTATGAACGATACTTTTCATCACGACGCAAAAATACACAAACACAGAATAGCAGACCTCAGTATATTAAAACAATTTGATTTCTCAATTAATTTGATTGAACATCAAAATAAAATAAAATCTTCTAAAAAGAAACCTACGTATATTTCTCAATAAATTTTGTTTAAACATCAAAATAAAAGAACAACACAACTTTTAAAAATACATACAGCTGATTAAAATCATTAAATTAAACCGTAACAAAAAATTGGCGCGCGTAGTGAATAAATGGAGAACTAATTGAGAGCGAGGGAAAGTAAATTTAGAGCGAGGGAAAATCAGCTGATCGATTTTCCCTCGCCCTAAATTAGAGCTTGGGAAACGACTACTTTCATTGATATCAGCTGTTATCGAAAATAGTTACTTTCGTTAAGGAGTGATGAAAACATATTTAAAAGTACGGGAAGCATTTTTCTATTTCGATGCATGCTGAATCAAATAGAATTGAATCAATATTTTGATACATTGCACACCACAATTTGAAAGTTTAAAATATTGCCTTTTGTTTATACATAAATACCCAAACAAGATGGTGGAGGAAGAGGAACTGAGGAGGAATGGAGGAACATGGAGAGGCGTAGTATTCACCTAGTCCTGGAAAATGAGCAGAACAAGGAAGGATAAGAAAGTATGTATCCAGACAAGCAAGCTGTAACATGCAAAAATGTGAAGGTAAATATTTGTGATGCTATTAAATATTCCAAATAGATTTTGAAACTTGTTATAATTCTCTGAAGACTGAATTTTAAAACACAAGCATTTTTATGTTATCAAAGCTAGTTATCACAAACTAGGAATATGTTTTAAGAGATGTACAGTTAAACTATCTCAACGATCCTGTACACGTAAGACTAATCTATAATCCAGAAAATTGGTAACAAGGAGTTACTCTAATTGAAATAAATCTACAGTTTAAGTTTGCCAAGTTATCAACTAAGCAGACCTATCCTCTCCCCTCCAACATGTTATTCCTCTAATTTATATTTACTGTAACTGTGGGAAGACTAATGTGTTAAGAGAGACTTTTACCTCAAGTTTTCATGTAAACATGACAAACATATAATATATTTGCATTGTAGGTTATTTAACACTTACCCTATTATCCAGATCAAACAAATATGAGTCATCTTCTCTGGTATCAGCTTCACAGTCTGATATGATCTCTCCAATGTATCTATAAAAGTATTACAACATTTACAACACCATTAATATAAAATTTGAAACCAAACTTATTCTGTCATAATTCTTTGAAAAGTAAAAACATCTTATTTTACCAACAACTTGTCCTGCCCTATGGTGAAAGCATAGAATGTTCAGTGTTCACTAAATAATCACTTGGCTGATGTTGTAAGTGCCAAATGAATACCAACCTAAGTAGCTCAGGGGTGGGCTGGGCCTGTGATTTATACAATAACAATAAAACAGTGACAAAGAATAGTGGGTTTATCCATTACAGACAATTGAGGTTTGTTTTTAGAGGCATCTCAATTTGCTGATGGTGCTTCTGAGTTGGCTTTTTACTGTACCGTAAAATTCTGCAAGTGACTTTTAAATGTTTTGAAGAGACCAACAGATTAAGTTTGCAATTCTTGTTGACTGTTGTAATTTGTCAGAAATTACACTTCTGAAGTGTATATATAACAACCAACAACTTGAACTATAGAACTTCCCATTCATATTCTTCACATTTGCATTAGTATACATTTTGAAGTTATTTAGATCGCCTACAATGAACTAAGCATTAAAAATTTTAAGCAAATAATTCAACACTGAAGTCCTTAAAGTCAAGATAGTAAAACAACTGGTTGTTACAATGACGTTAACATTGACAACAGCCTTTGAAGTTTTACATTAGTCAAAAAGGCAATGTGATGGATGTGCTTGAATAGTTTGAAATCTACAAGTCCACTTCATGTCTAATTATTAAATTTTTAAACCCCTTCCTCACTGAGACAACTCATTCTAATCATCTAACCATTCTACTGATAACAAGGGCAATCAAACCCTGCAATCCAGACTTGCTGGTTTTTGTAAGGTGATAGATAGGCCTATCTTTCAATATACCTTGAACATAACAGTGTTTGTGGATTTAATCAAAAAGCAATAACAGATAATTAAGTTTCCTGAAGAAGGGAATTAGTTAATTGCTTGGAAGCCAATACGCGCAACACCAAGTCAACAATTCAGAACTGCAGTCAACTTAGGTATATTAACATAATGTTTAGGTAGGCTACTCACTCGCAGACGTACGCCCCCTTGGGTATGAGCCTGAGTGTGCGCACGCCCCACCCCTTGTTGCCCTTGGTGCGGAACAGCTGGAACCTCGCGGTGATGCCGTGCTGTACCACCCGGTTGCGACAAGTCAGGCGGTTGCACGAGCAAGCCTGGTTACACTCAAACAGCATGGGAGGATCTGAAAACAAAAAACAGAGGCTGTTAATACTTTTTTAGGTTTTTTTCATTAGTATTGACATTGACTGTTTGCTTTGCAATCTGAAATCAAAATTTAAAATGTTAAAACAGTAGTCTCTGTATTAACTAAACTTTCCTGTGGATTGTAGAGTCTTGTGCCTCATTAGAGTATTTATACCACATAGGAATACATTTTTATTCCTATGTGGTATGATTGTACAACATAGCAGGATATCAAGAAAATTCATTCTGCAGCTCCTGACTGTACTTAGAAAATATTGTGCATCTTATTGTTTTAGAAAGCTGTGTGCTGCAAGCTTGTCACAATGGAAATGGTAACTTAGAGGAACTCTATTGCTTTATCATATACGCTTACCCCGTACGAAGGACAGGTACTCGGCTAGTAAACTATAAATCACCTGCAAAGTTGAACTCTGGCAGCAGTTTCCCCTCATCATCGTACCAACATCTGATGCTGATCTTGCCACACATACAGCCTCCACTGGTGCACATGTCTCTGCATTTACACGACTGGACAGACAAAACATCATCACCTTACTGCGGCTACAATACAGCTTATACAGTACAATCCCGATTATCCGAGGTCGTTTTTTGCATAAATATATTTTTTTGTTTTCAGTAGGAAAACAATAATTATGTTATTATTATGTTTCAATTAAAAAAACATGAAAATACCAATTATTTTGCAATTTATTGAATTTGCAATTATTCAATTAACGTTATAGAATGAACCGCAATAACCTTAAAGATTAAAACCACACAGTACTAGGTTGGCTGGCTGCCGATGGCAAACTGGACTCGACATTGGACAAGCCGTCTGCAGAACATAAACAATGTGTCAATCGTCTTTATTACGATGTTGTTTATACATGATTGTGTCAATATAGATCAGGTTAAACTTAAACTAAATGCAATTTATATGCTTTTTGAAATAGAAATATTAACCTTAGCGTTTTATTTTAAATAATGTAGTGTATTGGTTTATCATAATTCAAAGGGAGTGTTGCATCAACTCCAAGTGCTACGACATCCAATGATATTATTCAGTGCCACGATATCCAAAACATAATTTTTGAGCTGTTGCACAATGTCCAAGTGCCACGACATCCAAATGTACAGTAACTTGAAAAAACTTGGCACTTGGACGGCAATGCATCCTAATTCTAATGATGTTTAAAGGTGACAATTGAAGAAGTGTTTAAATTTGTTTCTAGTTTTTTGTTTTTTTTTACAATACGTTATTTGGAAAAAGGATATATTTTACAAGTGTTTGACTGAATACCGTAACCCTAAACTCAAAATATATGCGTCTTCCATGTTATCCCGAGGTTATTTGTAACCGAGGTAGTCTCGGTCCCAAAAACCTCGGTTAATTGAAAATGTACTGTAGTGGAGAGAACTCTTCAGGAGACAACACTCAAGGTGAGTTATAAAGGGAATGTTGCTGGAAGTCAACAGTCCCGGAAGATCAAATAATTTATACCTGTGCCGCTAGGTCAAAAACTACAATGTTTGCAGTGTCTGTAGATCAAAAGTCCCAGTAAGTCAAATAGTACAGTCCGAGCTAAAAACGTGGTCTATGTTAAAGCAATTGACTTATTGGGAATTTGACCTAATGCAACAGCAGTTTTAATATAACGAAATACGGTAAAATACAAGTTTAGTTTCGCTGAGTCAACAGTGCCGGAAGATCAAAAGCAATAAAAGTGAACGTCGATTCAGTTAAAGTAGACCTCCTGCAACGCTTACTACACCAACAAAACTCGCTTTTAGTTACTTGTGTTTTGTCATAATTAGAATAGAGCTAAAATTATCATATTTGGTACATAGCTTATCTATTCATGCTTCTTGCCAACTGTTTGGTCAACACTGTAAATAGGTATAGTTGATGTAATAAAAAGCCTTTCGTCAAAATTTGTGGCATGAAATACACGCAAGGACGATCTGAAAATTTCTGGTTATTATATACGATTGTAAAAGGAGATCCATTTAATTTTAGAACTATTTTATGAGTTATAATGTAGTCTACACATAAACTGTGTAAATGTATTACGCCTCGGAAGGGTTGAAACCTGTCCAACTATCATATATATTATTAAAACGTGAATGGGGGTTTTTCACATTCTGAATCAACCAGTCGACGGATTTTCATTATTTTTGTGATGAAAGAAAGATAATTTTGAGAACTAGGGAATGTCAAAGCCATAATTATAATTAAGGGTCCCAGTTTTTTAGAAATTAAGTTTCAATTTTTAAAAAGTCTAGCAGCCGACGCTAACCTTCTAAGCTAGCTTTTAGTACAATATAATTTGCTTAACATAACAGCTGTAAACATCCAGCATTTGTGACACAAATTCAGCATTTGGAAACAAATGTAAAGACACATATTTAGAGTTGACTTATTTATACTATGTGTAATGATGACCATTGATACATTTAATTCTTAAGTATGAGTATGGCAGATTAATTAAATATGCATAGTAAAATAGTAGGATGTTCAAATTATTTTTTAAAGGGATCTTTGTAATCATCGATTTGTTTTAGTCCCATATAATTTGTTTTAACTAACAGCTGGTTGAATGTAATATTGTTCTATATAACTATTAGGTTTTTGGCGAATTTCCCATATAGGGAATAAGCTATTACCGTAGTACTTATAGAAACACCTGGACCAGGGACCGATTTAATTTTTCGTTTTGAGGCCCCTAGAGGCCAAAAACACCATCCGTTCAAATTCATATATACAGGGTGATCAACTCAAGGAGGCCACCATTGGGAAATCGGAAACGGTAAGAATTAGAGAAAACTTTAAATGGGGGACATTCCTTTATTTTTTGTGGCAGTTAAAAATATGATTTTAGTTTTTATTATCATGTTTTCGGATAGAATATGCAGTTTAAAAACGTTTTTAGCCTTGACATTTTTTCGATAAACCCACTCGTTTAGGAGTACAGCATATGGAAAAATGACTTCCGGTGTACATTTTACATCATGTAGCTCCTAAACGAGTAAGTTTAGAGCAAAATTGCAAACTGTAAATTAGTCTTAGAATTGCATCTACATTCCTTAAAGACTATAACATAAAAAGTTTTCCACTTTTCAAGTTTGCCGCCATTTTTTAAATAGTATAATTCATATTTTTAATGAATTTTATGGTCTTTTTGGAATGTGGATGCAATTGTTAGACTTTTTTACTCTTCGCATTTTTGCTATAAACTTACTTGTTTATGAGCTACATGATGTAAAATGTACTAAAAAGTATTAGAAGTATTAAAAGTATTACACCGGAAGTCATTTTTCCATAGGCTGTAACTCCTAAACGAGTGGGTTTATCGAAAAAATGTCAGAGGTAAAAAAGTTTTTAAATTACCTATTCTATCCGAAAACATGATAAAATATAGGGGTTTCCATAAGAAATTTCATATTTGGCCAAATGGCGGATGAATTCCAAAAAACTAGATACAGTAGTCACCACCCTATGCGACATATTCTAACCAGAAAATTGTAATCGTATGATTCTATAAGCATTGGTAGGATTGCAAAGTACTACACAAACATTATTTCAAGGGTAATAACAGTTACAATTTCCGCTGACTTTAAAAGAGTCAACTAAAATATTATACTAATGGACACACAACTAAATGGAACAACTAATGGAAATACTCACGATGTACATATAACAGTTCGATATAAGCATTGAGTGTACACGTCAGTAGATACGTGTATACCCAATGATATAAGCATAGGTTCTTGCAATTTATTGCTTATTGTTTTTTAGAGTTGTTTTCCGGACTTACTTACACTCGTATAAGGTTGTCCACGTTTGTCATTGATAATGTAGCCATGTTACACCCATTATCACGAATATGTTTACAAGTTTTCCGTCTGTTTTTGAATAACAATACATTTTTTCACATACTTAAGAACCACCTGATTTTGTGCATTACATGTTCGTCTCAATTTTATTTGCTTTAGTAGGCATTCTTTTGGTTGATGAGGACTTCAATCGGTCCTTTCAATGATTGCTCATGAAATATAGTACTTTGTCCCTTAATTTTTATTGTTTGGTAAAATGGATAAAATTATCCAGCAAACCCAAATTGAAATAGTAAATATAGTATTTCAAACAAATCAGTAACATGTTAATAATGTAGCCTACATTATATCCTTGAATTGCATAACAACAACTAATTGAGCTGATCCTAATATAAATAAATCAATATGTTCTTCATAGGCATAACATGGGTTCTTTAAGAGCCACTGGGGCTGAGCCCAGGGGATTTAAAAAATGTAAGGTTGGTTTGCAAATGTATTTGACACGCTCTTTCTAATGAGACATGAATGGTCAAAATCGCCTAAGAAATTCGGAGGAGTTCAACGGAAAAATTTCGTGTTGGCGTTATACAGTATGGTTGAAAAGTCCTGGATTGGCTATATTTTTTTAACAATATAGATAAAGTAGTGAGACTTGGTATATCAATAATAGCCATAAATATCTACTGTCTTAAGCTATTTATCACTTTTTTATCCCTTAAGGGGGATGGACCACAAATACTAAGACAACATTCTTATATAATTTTAATACTATTTTACCTGTTTTTGAAATGCCAACCATACAAATACCATACAGCTAAAAATAAGTTAAATAGAAAAGGTTTTGGTTAAATCCATTTAAATTGTTATTGGACACTAGTAAGTACTAGTGCACTTGCTGCTACACCTCCCCCCTTCGGTTTCATGTATTCCTCTCAATCAGTTCAAACCTAGGAGGATTAAACATTAATGTTAATTAATGTTAAATCCAAAACAACCTGAAACACCCAACAACCTGTGTTCAAACCTGAAACACCCAGATCGAAACTCGCCTGTCGTTATTTTAACATCGCCTTTTTTTACTATATTTTTCAAAAAAGAAAGATTATGTTGATTTATTTTGGATTTTAAAAATGTGAACGTTTTATTTTATTAAAGATTTATGGTGATACGTAAATATTGTGGTGTAGTAAAGTATATTATATTTTAGTTAAGTGTTAAATTTTGAAGTTTTAGGGTGAATCGAGATGAATCTTTTTTTATAACATGGGTCCCTACCTTAACATACATACCAAGTTTCATAAACATCGGTTGAAAAAGTGTTAAGATAAATATTTGTATGTAAAAAATACAAATTGGCGGATATCTAATTTAACGAAACGATTTTGGAAAAAATGTTATCCTTCATTTTCTGTTTATTTTGACCCAAGGAATTACTAGGTAAAGTATCTCCCCGCTTATTTTTAACACCCTGTTTATGATGTATTCTTATTAATATAAGTGAAAAATGTAAGCTGGTAATACAGAAGGATGTTTTATAAATAATATGAATGTACTGGTGATCTGTATTTCATCTTTTTCATGTCCTTAGAACTGTAAATTAAAAGTCCACTCAGCAGTCGCATCGTACGATGTAGTTCTTTCCATGCGTTGCGAAATGCTAAATTTGCCGTCCTCTTCAACCCAAGTTATCTATTGAACCACTGATTGTAAGAAATTCAAAAAATATATTTTACGCATCACACTTTTGGCTACAACTTTGCCACAGACAAAACCTCTCTAACCCAAAAACAAAAAAAATCTCGCATGCTAACTTTTTCATGTTAGAAATCACGATTTAAAACTATTTCACCATAGATATCAATTTTTATTAATTAGATCGGTAAATAGTTTAAAGTTCCAACAAAATAGTCATCGAGTAGGACTAACCAAGAAGCTCTGTGCCAATTTTCAAAATTTTAGCACAACTTTAAGTACACCAAAACACGAAATTATTGAAGTCATGCGTCGAGAGGACTATCGTTGTTTTTAACAGATTATACTTTTGACCTACCGGCACTGTTGACTCAGCGAAACTGAACTTATATTTTATCTTATTTCGTTATATTAAAACTGCTGTTGCATTAGGTCAAATTCTCAATAAGTCAATTGCTTTAACATAGACCATGTTTTTAGCTCGGACTGTACTATTTGACTTACTGGGATTTTTGATCTACAGACACTGCAAACATTGTAGTTTTTGACCTAGCGGCACAGGTATAAATTATTTGACCTTCCGGGACTGTTGACTTTCTGCAACGCGTCCGTTATAAACCACTGGGTCACACCATTATTGTCATAACATTGCTTGAAGCTACTGGTGGTTGGCAAGGTTTGAATCAAACCCCGAGGTCATAAGTCCCTCCCTATAGACCAGACAAGCCCTTCTATTAATACATACATCTAAAGAAGTTGTATTGACGTCAGTATTTACTATTGAGATTAGCTGGTTCCTTTAGCTAAGACTATTTATTTAAAAGCCCAAAGATCAAGAATGTTTTTGTGGTAACAATATGATGAAATGGTCGTTTCCAATTTTCCAAACAATACAAAAATTGAAAAAAATGTCAGTAAAAGGAAGAAGACATTTGTAGTTTTTTACACACAACACGGTAGGACTGGTAGACAATAAAAAACTCAAATTGAAATATTTTTGAACGGTTTCAAATTACCTGCAGTGAGGTGATGGTTCGATCCACACTGATGTTGGAGGTGAAGCAGTTCTCCATGACATAAACAAAGTCCCTAGGCTCCGGTTCATCGTCTACAGCGTTTACACATTGTACAGGGTTGGCCTCATAACCTCGTGTGATGTCACTGTAACACCCACCATATGTTGTATATCTTGTCCATTGGATAACAACCAAAAATTACTTGATCCTACAAAATAGGCAAGAGATTTATGTGATCTCGTTGCAAATACAGGCTCTGCTCAAAAAAATAAAATTCCTGGCTTTTGGAAGTCATAACAGCAGAAGATTAGAATAACTAACAATAGTACCATAATATAAAATGTAGTGCAATGGAAATGGATTTTATTAGGATTTCACAACAATCAAATCATCAAAATATAACTAATTAAAAAGTATAAATACTAAAAACATTTTTCTACTTGAATTGAAACTAGAGTAGTTGCATCCAATAATCGACTCACAGAAAAATCCAACGCTTATTTACTCCTACCTGCTATACTAAAATAACCTCCTTAGTTATTACAGCTATAAATCGTGGAAGAAATTAAATAGGCCTACCTAATGAATAATAAATTTGAATAAATACATTTAACTGTATTACTCACTTAGTCAGTATCTTCTGCGCTCTCTTCTGCACGTTGAGTGTAAGGTTGCGCAGCTCTACCGTGAGTTTGATAGCGTTGTATGTGTCGTTGGGTGCGCCAGGCACACACTCCAGTGGCACGAAGCCAGCCCTGTTGTGCATATCCACGCGCGCACCCCTGGCCAGCAGTAGGATCACACAGTCGTACGCGTTCTGACGTGCTGCTATGTGGCTGCGGAGAACCATGAGGACCAATTAAATATGTGATATATTGTAATTATACTTTGCTTGACATCAATTGATACAATGCCAAATCAATCTCCCTAAATTACAACTGATTCCACTGGTAATGCTTGCAAAGTCAATTGTTCATTATAACACGTGTCACTGCCAGTTTACACTGGAGGCGTACTTACTTTATTAACAGAAGGATATAACTATGTTTATAAAACGAGGTTAAGATTTCTAAGTGTCTACACCAGTGAAATTTTTTATGAAAGAAACACAAAATGTTTTAAGGGAAAGCTATAGAACCCATCTAATCATTGTGGATAATTATACCTCTCCCACCTTCTCTAAAGTGTGTTTTGAAAATGAATAGCAAGCAAATATTTACATTTAATGACCCTAAACCAAATCACGCATATTGGCATTAACTAAAAAATGTTGGTTTTTTTTCACTGACTAAAATTCAATTCAAAATGTAGGGTGGTTCTTAAAGTATAACGCTTATTTTGAAGTTCAAAAACTAGTAAGGAGTAATACTTAACAAACTACAAGCTAAAAAACAAATCTAATAAGTTCAAAACACTATGTTTATTGATACCACGATGTAGACTCACAGTGGAGTATCGGCGTGGGCGTTGGTGGAGTTGACCTCCGAGCCGTAGTTGAGCAGCGCCTCAGCTATGTCTATGCTGCCGGACAACGCTGCCCAGTGTAGCGCTATGTTCTGTTCTGCATCCCTCACTAACGGGTCTGCTCGCTTCTCTAACAGGAACCTGGGAAATTACAGATGTTTTACAATACTGCTGCTCTGTACTTATATTATTTTATCACTCAAGGTTTTGTAGATTAAATAGGAGTATACATTTTCTTAGAGAACTTTGCTTAAGGTGAAACTTCCCAAGTACGTCTGAGCCTCCATCATGTGAGGATTAACAGTAATTAACACAAATTTTAATTAAGGGCACTGAAATACATGGTAGATGCGCTTTAGCATCTATTTAAAGAATAAGCTCTCTATTTAAAAACCTTCAAAACGGGTTGCCTCAAACAATTTTGGAGTTTTGATAAGGGTTAGTCAGAGAAAACATAGGAGCGCTTACCGGACATTGGTATTTCAGAAATGCTGCCTATTAAAAAATAAATTTGTCTAATTCTTTATCAATTTAGGATCTCTTTTGCAATCCATGTAAACTTACAACAACAAAATCAAATTGTCTTATCACTATCAGTTTTCAATTTGGATTAGGTTTTCAAAGTTTCAAAGCACCCTACATTAGTACAATAATTCATCAATATAACCAAAGATCTAACTTATGAAAATGTTAACATGACTGAAGGTAAAAACCCATAATTTAAACACATTCATAACCATACTAATCGTGTATAAAGGCAGTAAAAGAGTATTTTACCTAACCCGCCATGTTAAACTTCCCTATCCCAAGCGTGATGTATAAAACTTCTTTACTTCACGAGTGATGTAAAGTTTCAAAAACTCACTCGGTGAAGTAATGAAACCCATTTAAATAACATTGAGTGCTCAACTTAAAAAATTATACCTCTATGGAGCCAACGACGTTTAACGCTAGAAATCAGCTGTGCGCTTGGATTTTGCTGTTATGCTTTAAAGAATTTTCCTAACCTAGCCTTTGTTAGTGAAAGAACGTTACTCTTATAAGATGAGTGAAATGGATAATGAAAAATATTGTAGGAAACCCCCTGTATATTGTCGGGTCAGGTGAAATCTTGTACATTACGCAAAAGCGTGTTTACATCACTTAGGTGAATTATGCAACTTGCTTCTGCTCGTTGCACAACATTCACCTGTGTGATGTAAAAACACTCTTACTACTCTTGTAAGGTAAATAGCTATTAAGGCTTAATTGTTTACCCTAAACTAATACTTTTTCAAAGGAACAGTTTATTTAATGTAAATTTAACAATTTCATCAAGACTAAACTACAAGTTAACTAAAAGTTTTCAATAGCAACCCAGCAGACAGGCAACTGTTGCCTTCGTCTACTGATTCTGTAAACTCAAACTAAGTAATATGCAAATGTGCTTTTCATTTAGTATTAGCCGCGTTGGATACTGACCTGATGACCTTGTAGTGCTTGTGCTCGGCTGCCCACACCAGGGGGGTCCAGCGACCGTCGTCCACAGAGTCTATAAAGTTGCGTGGAGTGTTGGGGTTGGAGATTAGGTAGTGACAAGCCTCTATATTGCCTGTCTTGGCTGCCAGGTGAAGTGCTGTCATACCATCTCCTCCCTACAACACACACTAACCTAATAACACGCCTGAAAAACTATGGAGAAAACGTAAACTTGTATTGTAGAAGGTTCATTTTATCAACGCTAATATTATAGTTGTATAGTGTTGTGTTTAAGATGTTTAACTAGTCCAAGACTAATGGGGAATCATAGGAAACAGAACTTGAACAAATACACAATTATGTGATCAAGGATGTAACATAGAACACAAGGGCCTAGATAATTAAGACTTAGTGAGGATAGCAGACTTAGCTGTATTGAAGTCCAAACAAGTGCAAGAAACAACAAACTGTATAATAGTGTATATAGTGTAGTTTTGTGTAGTTTTACCATCAACTGTTGACCAGTAAATGGTTCAAGTATAAGGTAGGACTTGTTTCACAATGGTGGCATTGTCAGCTAGCTGGTAGATGTAAAACTTGACTGAACTCATATAAACTACCTGATGATGCCACCTAACCTCCACATTAACTATTTAAACCTGATTGACATGGTGAGTAATATATCTTAAAACATTATTGTTGATAATGATTTCAAAAATATCCACACACAATTTAGTTTTGCTCAAAGAAAGGCTATGGACTAGGAGGTTGATTTGCATGCTGAGGGTATAGCAGTAAGCTTACCTTAGAAGTACAGATAAGACTAAAGAACACACAACATTTCGTCCCCCTAGAGACAAAGATATGACTGTACGTGTCTTCCCTTCACTCTTCTCCTCTCAACAGTGATTGGTTTACCTTGAAGGTGACACTGGCTCCTGCCTTGACCAGATACTTGACCACGTCGTTGTGACTGTTGGCACAGGCTTGCATCAACGGAGTGTTCTGGTCCCTGTCTACCACATCCAGATTGGCCCCAGCTGCCACAACACACACAAATAGTGAAACTATATTCTCAGGACATGGAGCATACATGCCATTAACTAACTATTTTTATGAAGAGGATACTATATGTATAAGAGTTTTGCCAGGTACCATGGGGCTGTGGAAACTTCCTATGATGCTTCCTAGAATTTTGCAGTTTTTTTAAGACAAAAAATCCAATTTTACTAACATTTTTATCATTTAAACAAGATCAACACTTGAGGTTAAGAATATAACATAAAACACAAGAGCCTAGGGTTTTATGATTTTTTGTGAGGATCAGGATAGCAGGCTTACTTGAATTGTAAAGAGTTCAATTAATTTGGCACAAGACTCACAAAACTTTACAAATGCAATTTGAATATTTCACTATCGCTGACTGCATTTTCAACTAAGGAAGTATGAGTGACATAGAAATATTATATTTATTTGTATATAGTATAGACTATATCTTTTCTTGTGCCAGATTAGACTCTTTTCCATTCAGGTATGCCTCCTGTTCTCCCAAAGAAATCCTAATTGTATTTCCTGAAGCAAAGGTGACATGGGCCTGGTGCTCCAGCCTTACCTTGTATCAGCAGATGCACACAGGTCAGATGACCCCCAGCACACGCAGCATGTAGTGCAGAGCCCATGCCCCACTCTCTGAACACATGGTTGGGGTTCAGTCCAGCCGCTATCAACACAAAACCACACTATGTCAACTAATGCACATTTAAAATATGCCTTCATACTTAAACTACTCAATGTTTAAGGTTTCTACAATTTGGTAGGCTTTACCTTAATCAACTATACCATAAACTAAAAATATAATAGTGCCAAAAGTAGTATATTACCTGTGCAAGGACCATCCCCGTCACAAGATGGGCATCTGTTTTTTTTTTAACATGTGTAGGTAAAAGAACGTCTTACACTGATTTAGGTTACATAGCGAGGTAAACAAAGTACATTACATTTTTAGATATTATAATAGTAATTCAGGAGCACTCAGCATGGTTTATGACATACCAACAATTAAAAAAAAATAATGGTTGCATTGTTTAACAATTAACACGGTTTTTAGTGGAACCTTGGTAAGAAGACCCTCGATAACAAGTGTCATTTTCAAATCCCCTTAAAATTATTTTACCTCTAATCACGTGTTATTACAAACCTTGATAAGAAGAAAACCTTGATAACAAGTCTTATTTTACAATCCCCATGAGAGTCTTGTTATCAAGGTTCTACGTATTATGTTTACATCCCGTAAACTAATTAATCATTTAGCTTGTTTATTCAAATATGATTATGCTAGCAAATAAAGCGATTGAACATATTTTTTAGCCGATTTAAACATATTTTTTAGTCCAGCAATCAATCAGTTGATATCATGTGGCAATCAAATCAGAGTTTGTTGATCAGTGTGAGAATGGAACTTGAATTTACAGAACAATAACAACAATATAACCTTAAATGTTAAAAGTGAATAACAGCTGTTTTAAATACAGTAATGGAATTATAAAGATTTAATACTACACCAGGTGACGCCAGTCAGACGTCAGTGTGCATATGCGCGGAGAGAATATCACTAGAGATGATAGCTCGGTCCCACACGCTTGGCAATCTTGTAGCCCAGCGATCTCTGAATCGACACCAATTTGGTAGATTACCAGGGAAAATTGAGCAATCAGGAAGTTGCCGGGCAAAGTCAAAATTGACGGCAATCCAATCGAAAAAGCAATATTTAGGCAATATGGTTGCCGGCAAATTAATCACTCATCGACGGGCAACCAAATCGCCTAATGTATGTGTTAAGTAAGTTTTCAGGAAAATGTTTTTATTTCTTGCACTGTATATAATTTACGCATTGGTATTTGACACCGACAGAGAGAGAGTAGGGGTTTTCAATTGAACCTAGTGGGGTCAGCACAATGCCCATTGGTGAACTTGGCGGAAGGATATTTTTGCTAAATTTTAGCGTCGCATCGGGACACTTGACCAGTCTGTCGGTTGCCGGGTTTACCTAACACATGTCACTTTGACATAGTTCCAAAGGTACATTCATCCATAAATCATTATTAATTAACCCCACATTAATCAGTATGAGAGGCTTAACACTTTACTGAAATATATTACTAATGATACTTACCAAGAATATGAATAAGTTTCTCTGGTTCTCCATGTTTTGCTGCTTGATACATGTTCCTTAAAGTGTATCTAAAAATAATAACACCCAAGATAAATACATATTGTGTTAAATTTGATAAGATATATTTTTTGTCTCAAAAAATCCTTTGGCATAGTCATTGCAATTTGGGAAAAAGAACTCATCTTTAGGTAGAATTTATTTAATATTTCTGGCATTAACCCGCCATTGGTTGCGTTGTTTGTTCTCTCCTATTAGGAAAAAAAGATGTTTTATTTTATAAAGAAAAATTAATTGTTTTTGCAACTATGCTTATCAAACTGGAACTCTGGCTATTCAAAAAAATATAAGAGTCATCTCTTACATTCCGTTCTACGAATATAATAGGATGTGTCTAAGTGCGTAATGTCAGGAATGTGAGGCAGTGCCTCAAAACAATACCAACCGCGTTACTCTCTCTAGGCGAAATATAGCCACAAAATTGATTGTTCATGTAGTCAAAACTATATTTTATAATACATATGAAATACCAGTGTCCTAACAACTTGATTTATTAAACTTTTGTCTGGACTAGATTCACCAGTTCCATGAAAGTAACGCTCAAAATTACTGCTATACACAATAAGTATATCATACATTAAGTAAGTTTTCATAAGGGAATCTCATAGTATGTCTGTTTGTTGTTGTATACGAGTATTACTCTTTTCAAGTAAATATTGTCTCTTTAATTATTGGTTCCAGACGCATTTGTTTTTCTGTCACCGTTGGTTGCGGGTGGGTCGCTTAGTGTGGCAGTCCTCATTTAATTTCATACACACTTTTATTCTTTGTCGCAGAGACCAAGCCACCAAGTTTGACCATAGCCTTAATTTTATAAGGTCAGTGTGCCTAACTCTGTCCCTTTAAAAAACATCTCCTTAAACAGCCACATGACAAATACTTAAATTACAACATCAAACGTTGCATTGTAAATGGTATTATCAACTTCTAGGGTCCTAAAGTAATATCAAAGACATACAAAAACATCCACTACTACCACTACATCTCACACAAGCATTGAATAATAATGCCACTTGTATAAAACATACACCAATTGTTCTTACAAAAACACACATCTAAAGCACATTGTTCCTGAAAAATATAAGTTAATCAACATAGGAATATTAAACAAAATTTAAGATGTTATTTTTTAACTGGAAACTTCTAAAGTGCATTTTAAAGAGAAGCTTTTTTTTATCAGTAGGCTATTTTAAAGTAATGATCATTCAACATTTTCATGCTTTAATTGGTATTTTTTGGTATTTTTTTCTTTTGTGTTTAAATTATGTACAGCTATACCATTTTAGATAACAAGACTTACACCTATTGTAAACATTGAAAGCAAAGTTAAATTATACACAGCCTCTATACTAAATAAACAACATGACATTCTTGCATCACTTTCTGTATGTGCCCCAGTAATAAATAATGAATCTTTAGATAAATAATTATTTTTTAAATGTATTACCCTAAGTTCTTTTGAGTCGGTTACAAAGAATTTACTTTCAAAGAAAACACTTTTTGAACATTCATTCCTGAATTTAAATAATAACAACCAAACCCAATTTGTGTTTGTTTATTCAATTTATAGATTATTTATTTCATTTCATAAAACCTGTTTTTAGAATTTTTTAAGTAGTGTGTGTGTTATATGTTTAAATTATAGACTATCCGTTAGTTCCTGCGCTCTAATTTCTCAGGTGAGCTAGATGAACCCCACTTTACAAATAAAACCCTCCAGGCAATGGCACAACAGCACAACATAACCACGACCAAGAAAAAACCTAAACTGATGGTTGCAGTACACTATTTGGCCAGAGTATGACACAACCATGAACACGACAACAAATCTATATCAAGACTGATTTTTAAGACCAAGCTGTTGTAGTACATTCGTATCATAGACACAGTAAGCGTAAGAGAATGTAATTATGGTTGTCAGGCCTACAAAAAGGTAGTTTGAAACATTTTAAAAGGTATTTTGACAGTATGAAGATTCTATAGCTAGCCATCGTAAAACTTTCAGTGTTAAAATGTACAAAAGTAATCACTATACTGTGAGGACAAATCAGTGTACAATATTTGCTTGATAACTAAGAATTAATTGGGTCCGAATTAAGTCACTGGAAGTGTGCAACGCGTCATTACGTGTTGAATTGTTTTACTGAAGCAGCAGATGAGTCAGGCCCAGTCCGCACCAATCTACAAAGACTGGTCTTCCGACCATTGGGGGCAGCATTTTGACTAGTGAAATTCCACTTAAGTCTACTGTAAAACTGGTCATATATGCAACAGGTCGTCGTCATCTGGCCAGTGATTTGCAAGTGATGTACTATAGGTCTAAAATATAATTGGCCCACTCTTCATTGGGAGATATTGTTCTCTTCGTGCCCCCAACTAACCTAAAACCTCTTGTGCCCCTGGGGGGCCCATTTACTAAAGCGGCCCTATTCACCATGGTCGGGCTAGTGCACTATTGTCCTTAGCCACTTGGCTTTCCTTTGAAATAAACCCCATAAAATATTATTAAGCAATACAACTGAAAAAACTTCTTACAACTGGTGAAAGTGAGCATTTCATGACGAATGTGGTGCAAAAATAAACAAAACATAGGTGTAACTATAAGCAGACCTGGGCAAGCTAAGAATGTCAATATCGCACACAGCATGCAACAACGTCTCTAACTTGTCCTTGTCCAGTGTGGGCAGCCCCTGCGAGGTGATCTGTAGACCAGAGGGCAACACCAGTGATGACGACGGAACTAGAGGGATCTTCGACAAAACCTCCTCCAACTGGGTCAGTTGCTTGTCTTCTTCTTCCACTTGCGAACTGTACGTAAACGTCATCTTTGCGCTCGGCCTGCAATATACATATCTAGTAGCAGTTTGGACGAGTACATCTAAATTGGTTTTATAAACAAGACTTGGTACTTTGAAGATGTTAAACTGTGAATTTGAAATTTGTTTTTTACACAGTTACAAATTAACTACATGATAGGCTATGAAGTATGAATATGGATAGACATCACAGTAAGTAAAATTGTGTCTGTGTAGGTATAGTTTTTTTATGAATCCACTGATTCTTTAAAATACATTTTTGAATGTTATTAAATACTTACATGAATAAATATTTTATTTAAATTATATGAGTGTGCATTTAGATAGTTATAATCAGCCTGGTTAAAATTAAGCTTTGTTTGTACTTTCTCTAAAAAAGTGTTTATAATTTTAAGAACAAAATGTGCAATATAGAAGAACTAATTGTCATCATGCTCTAGGGCCTATGGTTAATTAGTAGCCTACAGCAGACAGGAAGGCAATATAAGATCACTTTGAATACAGTTATTGTTTCTTGAGTAGGCCCACAGTATATTTTATAAGAAAACATTGCAAACCTTGCATTGATATACACAGCTAAGTCCATATAATATGAATAAAACATTAATTTATTCTGAATTTTACCTGTTTTTATAGTTTTACTTTAACTTTACATGGTGCCCGTTTTAACCAACTTTTTAGGTTATCTGATAAAGGCCCAGTTGTGTGAGGGTGAGCTGTATCAGCCGTTGGACTCAGTTTTCTCAAGTAAGCAGGCTGAGCTCATTTCTCTATATTGTATTATATCTAGTGACTTTACGTACGTGTTCTTGTTTGGTTTCTGCTGAGGCATGAACACAGGATACTTGTGAGCGCCGAGGCCGATGATGACTTCTCTAGCGTCCTCACTGCCACAGTGTGGACAAGCCTCCTTGCCTTCCTCCTCCAACTGGCAGTCCTTGTGGTAGTGGTGGTACGCCCAGCACTGCATGAACGTACCCTGCAAACAACCAGTCAGTCAGCTTCTAAACCAACACTAAGCTGATGTTCAATAGTAACAAGTGTTTGGACTGTTCCCTAACAAAAAGCTTAAAAAATTAAGCAACACAAATAATTAGGCCTGTATAAAAATTGAAAGGGAAAAGTTAGTATGAAACAGGAAATAATGAAAACATTAGAGGTGTGCAAAGTGTGAAATTTCGTTTGGATCAGATAGGTAGTTGAAAACGCAGTCAGTGAGAGTAAAATATTCCAATGTTTTGTGTAGTATAAAGTTTTGTGTTTCTTGTACCAGTTTAACCCTATTCTATTCAACTAAGCCAACTCTCACGAAAAACCCCTAAAACCTAAAACCACCATAACTCTCTCCATTTTGAAGCCAAATCAGATTGGAAAATGGCCTAAGTAAAAACATTTTATGATCTACTTATAGTATACAAATGAAATTCAGATCAGAGTTTCCAACAGAGGTTTTGTATTTGTAGCTGACCTGTGTACAAAATATGCCGCAGCCAGGACAGCAGTTGTGCCTCAGCAGACGTTTGTAGTGGACATCACACAACAAAAGGAATGGAACACGAGCACTTGGTCTCAACAAACGGGCATTGTCCTGCAAACAAACATGTGAAGTCGTCATATTTACTTAGTCGTTATATATCAGCAACCAGTTTTATGTTACATATTATAGTTTATTGTGACACATTGTATGCGATTACCGCCACTAACCAGGAGGGGATAGGGTAATAATAATAATAATAATAATAATATCTTTATTGCCGTGAAACAAATACAAATTGCATGGCATCCGTCAACATTTAATACAGGCATAACAAGCGACAGCAAAACAAATAAATACAACAGCATAAAACAATTAATAATACGAATGATTAAAAAATTCACGGAACTTGTCATTTGATTGATTTAGAACCTCAGAACAACCTCAGGGTCTCGTCTAAGCTCAGTTGCCAGATGCTACAAGCCATAAGTATTGTTCTTTAGATAATGTATATTAACATCATATCTCTGAGTGTTTTATCTCAATCAATCAATACAATTGAACAATTGATGTAGTACCTAGTAAGTGGTTACAGTGATTGCCTTGAAGGTCCCTGGTTTTATCCAAGCGAGATTGATTCTGAACCCAGATGTCATTTGTCATTGAGCTACCAATAAGTGATGCTTTCTTACAAAAGGTCAATGGGAAATGGGATCCAATGGGAGCGAAAATTATTAGCGAAATACAAGATTACTGGATTTTTTTTAAATATAGCTGGAAATTTTTATTTGATTTTAAAGTCAGTGATGTAAATAGACCCACCTTGTCCACTGTATTACAACAACCGATGGGTCGGCCGTCCAGAGAGTCTACAGCCTGACAGTAGAGTTCCGTTCTCCAGCCATTGGCCTTGGCGAACATGTTGTCCCTCTTGTTACACAAGCAGATTCCAGCAGTGCCAACCTACCAGAGTAAAAAGTAAATAATAAATGTTTACCGCAGAAATGAATTTTTGATTAGCTTAATTAATGTGTAGCTTTGAAAATTGTTATTAATTACAGTAGTATGATATACTATGAAATATTATTTCATTACAAGTACTGAAAGTGGCATTCTCCGGTGCACGCACAAGTTCATGTGCGAGGCAAAGACGAACACAAGAACATCATATTTTACGTGTGATACAAAGACGAGCTTGTGAGAGTGAGTTTCAAGTACAAGGCGAACCCGAAGACAGGAATAATTGAAGCAAGTGCCAGAAAATAACTTTCTGAACTAGTAATGAACCAAAATTTTCACCCCAATGCAAAACTGGCTTATGCCTATTTCTATTTACTTTAACGATGTTAAACAGTAAAATAAGCATATGCCTATTTTAAATATAAAAATAAATGGTAAAGAAACACTAGTGTGCGTATTAGGAAAATAAATAAGTAATCGAGAGCAAATGAAAAGTGAATTTAGATCAAATAAAAATCAGCTGATCCTTTTCCTCCAACTTTACATTAGACTTTGAGAAACAATGTTTTTATCTTTTAGTTCTATAAACAGTCCCCAAATTCATCGTTTTAAGTTAACTTCAAATAGTGAACAGAAGAACATACGGTTTGCTAACCTCCAAATTGTATTCAGTGTATTATGAAAACAATGCTAATCACATGATAATTAAAGCTATGTTTGTAAACAAAAAAATGTAAACATCCGTTGGTCGCTGGTAAACATTGATGACGACTTTGAATAACCTTAAATTATGTGGTCAAATTTTTTAACGATTAGAAGGTTATTTCCACAGTATGATGAAAATAGTTGTTCATCACACGGAGCTAAAGTGTCTTTTTGGTACTTAATCGTATTTCCAAACACGATTGTGTACCAAAAAGGGCAACTTTCGCTCCTGGTATTGAAAACTACTATTTCTTTTATACAAGTTGTCAAAGAAACTAGTTTCTGTAGAGGATTAGCAACATATTTTAAGTTTAATAAATAGCCTGAATTATTTTTGAACAAGCCTACTAAAAAGGTAAGTTTATGAGGTAAACACTTGTTATTGTAGATATGAGAAACATACCCCGATTGAGATGGCAGTGGCCTCTGGTTTATCAGGTTCAGCATCTGCGTCTCCTTGACTTGGCGACGGAGCATCCACACACATGCGCTTTTCTTCTTTGGATTCTAATTAATTTAATACAAACATCGAACTTGGTGAATATTATTTCTCTATTGCGATAATAGTTGTAACAGCATGCATGAACTGACGTAGCAATAATACAACTACTTTACAACATTAAACATTACACGACTACCTATGCAAAATTTACTAGACAAACAGCAACATCAGAATAAGCTTATTCTGTTACGGAGTTTAAATTGAAAAATGTGTTGCTAATGCAATAGTTGACGTCCTCTATTTAAGTTTCCATCATACTGAAAATACGAGATAATTTGTAACAAAAGACTAAAAGAAAGATTATTTACAATAAATAAATCAAATGTATATTTTATCAACATTTTGGGCACACAAGGGACACAACTAAAATATGAAAGACTTTCCTGAGAGATTATGTTAGCTGGGAGCTGTAGGCACTCTGATAATAGGATGTATCGATTTCTTAAATCATAGTTCATTGAGTACAATGAAGTTAACATCCATCTGAGGTAGAAGTTAGTTAACCTATTTGTGTGTTGTTGTTGTTAGTAGTGATTGTATTTACTTTGACAAAATAAATCTGCAGCTTACCCAAAGATTCATTTTTTCATCAAATGAGGTTCTGAAAACAATTGACATCCTAGTGTGGTGAAAAATAATGTTTAAATATTTCTAGCGATGATGGAACAATTAACATAAAGTTGCCCTTACCGTCATCACTGTCCTCTGGATACTTGCGTTTAGCAATGACATTATGATCAATGTCTTCTGGCAGCTCTGGGTTACCATTTCCTTCCGTTACTGGAATTACAATTATTTGTTATACAACAAATTTGTAAACAATTTTCTATTCATATTAGCATATCAAACAGAAATAAATTAAAAACGGCCGTAACTCAAGTTGCAACAGTTTCAGCTATAGACAAAGGTAAATACCTGTTTTGAACTAAACTAAATGCTTGGCCTACATGTTTAGTGTACATGTTAAATATATAGGCCTGAACATTAAATTAAATGAGAAATGTATTAATTTCCGACTGATAGTATAAGAAAATTGTGAAACAAAGTGTACCTATTTATACCGTGTAAATGAAATACCGGCTGTCATTATAGTTATTAAAATCGGACACGTTTCAAGCAAACGCAAGGTGAAAAACCAATAAAAATTAGTTTTTATAAAGTTTTTTCTATGATTAAAAATTAATAGCTCCAGTATTGTTTATGTTTTTATATGCTTAGAACTTAAATAATCAGTAAATTATAGGCTTTAATTTGAGCTTTTGATCGTTTGAATCAGTTATGTTCAAGATACTAAATTACTCAATCAAAAATCATAAATTTGATTATTTCTCGGATATGATATTTATTTCAACGCTGCGGAGCAGCATGGGTCCTCTAATGTGATATTAATTTAATAGCATAACTTACCAGGTTCACTGATAAGTGGATCAGAAGTACTATCCACATCCTGTTTAGGAACTAACTCTTCAGAATCTTGAACAGGTTCTGCTACAAAATTGGTCTCAGTTATATTGTTGTCATCAGCAGTATCAGATTGCAGCAGTAAACTATGATTTGATTCTTCTGTTTTTACATTATCTTCTCTATTATAATTTTCTTGCCTGTGCATTCCTTCTTGGTTCTTTTTTCTGCCTCTTTTTGCTAACAATGCTTTTTTGCGAGCAACACTTCCACCAGTAGTGAGAGAGTATCTGAGACCTTTAAAATGTTTAGTTCGCCGTTTACCAGTCTTAGTATACAGCTTATCAGTCTTTGATGGTTTTAAATCGGCGGGTTCACTACTTTGGCTATTTGTGCTGGCGCTGTTATTATTACCGGTGTCGTTTGAATCTTCACTCATTTCTTCATTCTCTGATTTCATTAAGGATAAGTTGAAATCTGATTCCGTTTTTATCGCCATCAATGTATTTGTATCACACAACTCACCTTGCCCTTCCATATCATACGCACCACCCATTTTGGGAGATTTTGACCTTGTAAGAGGTCTGTTTACCCTTGTGTCTCCAGGACTCTGTCGGGGAGATCTCGCCCCCCTTCTTGTGGTCCGTTCTTCAGTTTGACCGAGAGAACTGAATGATTTTTCTTTCCGAGCAATTGCACTCTGCAAAACCGACTCTCGGCAGTGTTCCTTGGAGAAGCGTCTTGATGATCGTTTCATATTTGAACTCTCGTTTTCTCTGTCTGTCAGTCTTGAGCTACTTCTCAGTGATCTACGACTGATGCTCTCCCACTTAGTGCCCCTGTCCTCAGAGGTGTCGCTCACATCGGAGTAGCTGGCATTCAAACTGTCACTTGTACTATGACAGACATTGCTCCTCCTCCCCAGTCTCCCAAGTTCTCTATCTTCTTCACTTGTTCTCAAAGTCAAAATTAAACGAGGTTTTTGTTCATCTCCTTCTTCTTCTGTATCAAAGATGGTCTTGTTTATGATAATAGGTGTTCTTTTAGATTCTTCCATGACTTGTTCATCAGTATTTTCACTAAGATCGTTATCTACTTCACTCGATGGATCTGCCATTGCTGATTCAAGACCTTCTTTTTTGACGTCCAAGTTACTCACACTAGCGGTATCGGAAGCAGCATCATCATTGTCATTTCCTCTGTTGAATTCACTTTTCATTTCAGATAAAATTCTCCTTATCAATGAGCTATCGACTTTCTCAGTATCACTATTAAATGAGGAAACACTGGCATCAAAATCCAAATCATTTTCTTCCAGTATATTGGACGTCATATTATCAATTGGATTCTACTGCACATGTGCAGATTTTCAAACGCTTACTCCATTTAAGCTGTTTACATCATGGTTTACTTTCCATCTGAAACAATAAAAGACAAATGAATTAGATTTCAAAATTTTACATATTGAGTCAGCCTTATACATCTGTAGGCTACTAATTGAACTTTTAGTTTTTCATCTTGTGTAGGCCTAATGTTATGAAATGTGTCTGTTGCGAGTTATAGGCTCAGTATAACTAACTCAGTATATTATTTTAGGCCCTCTGCTCTTTCTCGTAATGATAAACGACTTCAGTGGTGAGGAGGAAGCTCTCCTTTACGCAGACGACACAACCCTGATTAGGGAAGGAGCGAGCTTGGATGGAATCAGAGAGGCAGCAGCTGCTGACCTAGCTTTAACGGAGATATAATTTAGAAACAACAAATTTCAAGTCAATTTTGATAATAATAAGAAGGAAATAACTTAAGTTCAACTTGATCGCTGATCACATACCTAGAAATACGCCTTCACTAAAGCCTTGTAGGATAACCCAAAGAAAAAGGCAAAATGTTTTAATAATTCATAGGCCCTACCTAACTAACTTTTTTATAAAATCATCTATCTATATATTAATTAGGTAAGCCGATTCTTTGCGTCAAAATTGTGGGCGACTGGGAAGTCGTAGAACGACGGGAGAGGGCTCAAATCAAAGGTCTCGATCCCGTGACGGCGGGAAAAATAGTGAAATTCCCTAAATTTGTACACAAACTTAGATATATCGTATAATGTTCTCCATAAGAATAGCATTAGAAACCATTTACTGCTGATTTTTGTTTACTTCTCTACAGCTGATCTTGATATATCATTAAGCCAGTAATCAATATTACATTTGGATTTCTTATTTGCCAGTCAATTCTGCAATGTACTGTATAGGCCTACTATATAAACAAGGGATTACGTTACCTATAATAATTCAGACTTTTAGTTAGGTACGTCTTAGAAAGTTGAAATCAATTGTTTTACTGAGCAATTTGCAAACTTGTGTATTTTAACGTAAATTTGTTAAGCATATGAAAAGCAGTAGAATCATAGGATAAAGCTCAAATTAAAGGAATGAATGGCTAAAAAAATAATGAAATTTTTTCTTCTTAACATGAAATAACGTTCCAATGGGCGTAAAAACAACATTGTTTGGAGGAAATTTTTACCAGGTACCTACTGCCTGTTGCTCCAAGCAAAACGGTTCAAATAATATCTAGCATAGCAAGCACGGTAGTAAAGGAAGCATCCATATGTAACAGTAAAACCTAGAGGTAATTTCCGTTTCTTAAAACTAACCAAAAATATGCATGACGAAGAGGTAATTATTCCGTACAGGTGCCTCCAAACGAATTTTTAATTTTGATATCTTACTTTATAGTTTTTTACCTCCTGAATCCAAATATACCATTAATTTTCACCGCTGATGAATATTTCTCAAGATATCGCCGTAAAAACATACTTAACATTACAATAAACAAGGTAGGATGGATGACATTTACAAGTGGAATGTACGATGGGTTAAGTAAACCAACCAGCTGATTGTTTTCAATCATAGTCAAGCAAATGGAAGTGACAACTTTAGTTAGCTAACTCTGATTCTGCAATATGAAAATCACCTGATTAAGTTACACTTTTCACTTTCTAAGACCAATAAGTTAATAATGTATTATTGTTACCAGTATTTTATCATTATTAATGATTTATTGATTTATATTTCGCCGTTTAGAAATTACATACTAAAATGGTGCTATTCTAACATAACCTAACCCAACCAAACCTCTAGAATGTGTAAGCAAACTCCTTTTGATGTCAGAAAAGGCATGTCAGGGTGATAGGTCGTGCTTTATGTGAATTGGTGACTGCATTAAGTCCTTTGAAGGTAGGTTAGATTAGGAAGGTAAAGTTTAGGTTATAATGTATCGAGTTGTTAGTTTATGTTGCCTGCAGACTGTTTTTGTAAAATTAAAATCCAGAAAAAACACTTCAAATTACTATTTCAAAAATGCAAGCATTTTTGAAATAGTAATTTGAAGTGTTTTTCTCAGTGTAACAACTCGATACATTATAACCTAAACTTTAACTTACCTAATCTAACCTAACTTCAAAACACTTAATGCAGTCACCAATTCACATATAGCACGACCTACCACCCTGACATGCCTAAATAAGAACTACGAGTAATTAGTCCATTATTCCATCTATATCTCCATAATGTGACGAAATTCCTATTGTAGTAAACATTAAGTTATCGACTATAGAATCACTTGATATGTTTCTACAAAGTTAAAGCACGGCCGCCTGCGGCCGTGGTTAAAGGCGGCCGTGTCTACAACGATGTTATTATCTTCAGTCAACGATGTTATTCTTCTCATCAACCATGTTACTCTCTTCACTTAACTTAATCTGAACTTGTGATGGCGACGGCGTAGCAGACAGAATAGCACTTAGCTAGCACTACGCAACACGTATGAGTAGGTACGAATGAGTATTTTGTTTTGTATTTTATTTGTAGTGAAGTAAAATGTCGTCAATAGGCAAATTGCCGGTGACAGAATCAGCTGTAAGTAGGCTTAAGGCTTAGTTAACCTACAGTTCATTCCACTTGTAAATGTCATCCATCCTATCTTGTTTATAGTAATGTTAGGTATGTTTTTACGGCGATATCTTGAGAAATATTCATCAGCGGTGAAAATTAATGGTATATTTGGATTCAGGAGGTAAAAAACTATAAAGTAAGATATCAAAATTAAAAAATCGTTTGGAGGCACCTGTACGGAATAAATACCGACGAAGATGCTGATGAAAAGTAGGCAAATTTAGTGATTGGTTTCAATAACTGGGTAATGGAAACATAACCAGTCTCAAAACAGTAAGTAATCAGGCGTTGATTTAGGCCCTTTTTTGATAGAATATGTAAAGTCAATCGCACCTTTAGGAGGAATACAACCACATAAACTTACACTAGGCTAAGTAGTTTTTTAATGTTGATCAGAAACAAATCTAGGGTTTAGTTTGGTCAATAGGATGCCTTTATTTTACACTAATTTTGCTAACCCTTTACAAAAGGAGTATGAACTTAGAAATAATAACTGGGCCGGGGGTGCTAATTTAGCGGTTTTGACAAAATACTAAAGCTTATCTCAACACACCTTTATTTGCCGTCTCATATTTGACAAAGACAATTTCCAAATTCAATCTGGGAAGCCTTTTTATCAATAACCAAAAGACCAAAGCAACCTTAGTACCTAAACCAATATTTATTCACAAACATGTTTGCTGCCTTAATAGGGTTAAACCTCTGGAGTCATTGAAATTATTTATTTAAAATAATAAAAAAACAACAAATTGTTTTTTACAAAAAAGATATGTTGCACTGGGATATCTATCGTCACACATATAAATAATTTTATTCTAAATTTTGTTCAAATAGGCTATTACAATAATTTGTTTTACATTTGACTTATGTCCCTACAAGCCACTAGTTTTTGTCTTAATTATTAAAATAATTATCTTAACCCTTTCTCTTATCCCCCTAGTTCAGTGAACGACACTACTGCCTAAATTATGTTCTTCTAGCCTACTTAGCATTTGGCCTATCCATATAAACATAAAAACAGCTGATATTTACTCAACGAAAGATTAAAGAAGTTAACCGGTCAAAATTGGGCAGTTAACTTAGTTATCTAACGACGAGTAAGTCTCAACTAGCTCTAACAGCGAGTGGTCGAATACGATTTCGTCAGTTAAGAGTTAGGGCCTAACTGCAGATAGAGCTTAACAGCGGTTTAAGTGTTTGGTGAATTCGGGCCTAAGTTACCCAGCCTAGCCTACTAGGCCTACTCAACCCATCCAAACATCATCTTTCTACCCTCCACAAATTACTACAGTTCTTTCCCTGTAAAAAATGTGTATGGAGCCATAAACTTATGTCAGTGTTGGTAACATAGGGTTTTACACATTATATTTACACATTTTACAAATGAAAGACTTGAGAAGCACAGTAAGTTAACTTAATGTTGTGCTTTTTTTAATAGGCCTAGGCTATATACTTAAATTTGAAAATAATAATAATGATTGTTAGAACAATTTAGGCCGACACGGAACAAACACCATAAAAAGTGTCACTAAGTACAGTCTATAAAATAACCTTAACGTCTTCCAACAGTCTTCAGATTACAGAGACGGACATAACCTCTCTCCTCATAACATCGGATTTTCTAAATACCAATCAGGAGCAGTTTCTATAAAGGGCTATTCCTGTTTAAACATCCAGGCAATGTATAGCTTTTTGTACCTCAAAATGATTTAAAATAGATTGATTTTACGAACCCTGTGGCACCAAAGACGCAAAGACACTCGCGTCGTCGTCGTCGTTTCCGCGTCTCTCTCGTCTCGGCGATCGGTGACTTCGATTCGACTTGACTTCGGCGTCGGCGTCCCCGTCAGCTCGAGCTCAACCTCGACTCAAGTCAAGACTCAACTCAACTCAACCAACGGAAGCCAAACCAAAGCTGAACCTGAGTCCTAACTCAACTTGTCAACTAGACCCCCTTGCTGGCTGGGTTGCGTTCCAGACAGGCTAACAGGAGCCATCCGACCGAGACGTCATATTGATGGTTCGTAGACCCATGAAGTCATACTTAGTTATAAAATAAAGAAAAAATATAAAATTAAACTATCATAACCCACAACGTAACTAACCAAACTTGCTGATAATGAAAAAATCTAATGAAAGTTTACTAATCAAAAGAATATTATTGTGCGTCACGGAGCGTCCCGTGAGCCTTGCAAGAACCCTACGGGGGTTTCGTTTCAGTTCAAAACAACATCAAAACAGACATCCACAAATCAAAACATAAAACAACAAACAAAAACAGCAGGAGCAGAAGACTGAGAGAACACCAACAACACAGAGGATGAGACCAAAACGAACGACACTAACCTAATACCACGTAAACGAACTACTGAATAAATGCTCAATTATGAATACTTTACTATAGTGCCGGTGTAAGACTTTGTTTGTAGCCTATCAAGTTAGGCCTATCATCTTTTATTCACAGAAAGCCATAATTTTGGGGAAAATTCATTCTATGATGTTATGAATTGAAATAATAATCTAAAGAAGGTTATGTCTTGGCAACTGGGCCTCCGTTCTCTGAGATATAGAATTAGTAAGTAGGCTGTATTTTATATAGATTTTAACTTCTCTTTAGTATTACTCAGTACGGGTAGCCTACAGTTCCGCAGAGAACCTGTGATATATTATCAAATTAAATGCCTATCATCATCATTTTAGGTTAGCAATGATAACAGCTTTATAATTAAAAAATGGCATCAACAAACCGTATTTAGTACTTAGATTTAAGTATTGAATATAATCTAAAAAAGAATTATTTTCTTATAAAACATATAGGCCTAAGTTACCATAATCTCCGCAATTTCATGCAGATTGCAACTTAAATAGGCTAAATTGATAATCGAGCCACTATGAACAGAGATAGGTCTATAGCGTATTTTGTTAGCGCAAACACGGAAACGTCATAAGACGTAATGAGTAAGAGAGAGACAGCTCAGACGTTAGGTGGTGAGGGGGGTGCTCAGCGGCCGGACCGAGAACCCAGCACACAGCGCAATTGTAGTAATAGAGATCGATGTGTGAAATAACTGTAGAGCCTACAAGAAACACAAGGGGTATTGAAGGGTTCTGTTGCTAGCCTAGTATTTTGAGTTTCATACTTTGGTGCGGAAAGGACAGGGTTGAATTCAGCACATTCATAAAACTTTAATGGGTTTAAAAAATGGAGGAATTGCTTTAGTTGATCCTACCGCTCAGGGAAAAGCATTGTTCCGAGCTTCAAAGAGATGTTGTAAATTCATCATAGACTCCCTAAAAACTAAGAGGAAAATAAGTATGCAAGAACATGAAGAACTTTTGATGATCACAAAAAAGGACTTGAAAGAGGAGAGAAGATTAGAAAAAGAAAACATTTTGAAATCGACTATTCAAAATCTTTCTCTAAAACAACAAAAAATTATCTTGCGAGGAGCAAATACTAAAGCGAAACACAGTGGATGGCTGTCATGTATTCCTCTGAAAAATGTATTCCTCTGATCTTTCTCCACTGGAGTTCAGAGATGCTCTTGCATTAAGATATGGAAAAACTCCTATACACCTCCCCTCTTCATGTGATGGTTGTGGCAAAAACTTCAATATGGAACATGCTCTTAACTGTCGCACAGGTGGTTTGGTAATAAGAAGACATAATGAGGTAAGGGATACCCTTGGAAGCTTGATGGAGCTAGCATGGGGAAACTGTGTTCGAGAACCAATGATTTCTGAGCAAGGGTCATTTGATACGGCAGCACTAAAAGCAGACTTGGCTTGTAGGGGTGTATGGGAGGTTCAGACGGAAGCATTATTCGATGTACGTGTCGTTGACACTGATGCTCCGTCGTACTTGAACCTCCCATACGAAAAAGTGTTGGAGAATGCAGAAAGAGAGAAGATGAGGAAATATTTAACAATAACAGAAACCAGAAATGCATCTTTTACCCCACTAGTCACGTCTGTGGACGGAACGCTGGGCAAAGAGTTTCAGACCTTGCTCAGAGCAATGGCAGAACGCCTAACAGAAAAATGGAATAAACCTTACAGTTTAGTGATGAACTGGATAAGGGTAAAAACCATCTGTGCGACGATAAGGGCCAGCAGCATGTGTCTAAGGAGGACAAGGAAGAAGTGGAGGACCTTTAGAGAGTTTGAAGATGGGGCTGGAGTACCAGTTATTTATTAATTTAAATAACAAATGTTTTATTATTTCTTCATGTCAAAATTGATTATATTGAAGTGTTTTGCTTTGTTCATAAAAAAAAAATCAGTGCAATACCCATTTTCTTTTCAAAATTACGTTGGTTTAGCCTGTAAAGTGATAAAATTACCTTTTCGCTACTGTGAAATAACCTGTTAGGGCCTACATGTTTAAAAAAATCATCATTACATTGTTTTAAAAAGAATGTTTACAATGCAAAAGTAATGTTTACTATCTTTTTTGGATTTTGCCGACTAAAAAAATAAAGATTTGTTATTGTTTTGTCAAGTTTTTCAATTTTCAACAACCAAAGCAAATATTAACTTTAAATTGAGGGCATAACCTAAAAATGCAATGAGTTTTGTAGGCCTAATGTTCCTTAATGTAAAAATAATCGAATGTCTGTTTTAATTAAGAAAATAATTATTCTTTGTAGTGTAGCGAAAAGTAACTTTCAAAACACGAGTGAAAGTGTAATGACTCACTTTCTACTCTTGTTTGGAAATATACTATTGCTGAATTAGCTGCAATATTTTGTACAACTCAATTGATTTTAGCAATAAACTTTTAACTCAACTTTTACTGATTCCAATATTGCTAAAGAAATTAGCAAAATGTGAGTCTATTGTAAAGGAAGTGGCCGAGGTTGCCACAACCATGGGAGTTGACAAAAATATTTGTAGATGAACTGTTTGATGAGTTTAGTGTGATCAAACCAATTTTACTTGGTGCTGGTGTCAGTTCTATTGACTTCCTGTTGCACATAAATGGGTAGGCCTATTCAATAATGTTACGGAAGAGAAGTTGCCCCGATTGCGATTCATTATGTCATGTGCTTTAAGCATGCTACCATCAAATACATATCTATCAAATCAATGCTAGAGGTTAAAATATCTTTAATCCGTCAGTGTGATCAACGTCACCGATGAGTGGCGACCGGTTTCAACCCGTAATGGGGTCATCTTCAGGCGATAAAAGAACATAAATTCACTCCGAAGAGGTCATCAGAAAGTCTATAAATACATAACAAAATAAATACAAACGTGTAAACCTACATTTATTCTAACAAAACCAGCATGCACGGACCATGGGAACGGGGATTTATGGGGTAAAAATGGATTTTTCTCATTTTTGACCCTCAAAAGATAAAATTTCCCAATTACTTTCAAAACAATTTTTAAATAATTAAAAAAACAAATAATTAAGTATCCTGAAGTGTTTTTGTACAGTTATTGGTTACGGGTAAAATTCAAAAATTTTTAAATTCCCATTTATTCTGATGGAGAATAAGTAAACTGGTAGTTTGCATGTTTATGGATATATTTTGATCAAACTTGGAATTAGTTTTTTGTTTTTTTGTTTTATACTGAGCTATTAATATTTTCTTATAAACACACTTTACCCTCCCTAAAGCAGCAAACCTAGGTACTCGTTAAACGTAGTGATTGAAATGGATTTAATTGAAAATCAAATGGAATTTTGCTTAGTCTGTAGGTTTGCTGCGGCAGGGGTAAAAAAAAACAAACGCTTTCGAATACTATGTTCTCCCTTCAAGAGTAGTCTAGGTTTAAATTTCTATGATAGCCAAAGAACACAACTAGATTAAGTCAATACTGTAGTTTTTCCAGCAATTCTGTATAGATTATTAACTGGTTTCCTCTCATACAACACAGTTCCGTGGATTTATTTTACCCTCTAACTTCATCTATATTAAATAAATTGCAATTGTTTTGCATTTCATTCGTTATATGATTTGGTTATGGCTTTCAGGATAGTAACAAAACTGTTCCATATATTGGTAGAATCAAGGCAAACAGAAATAATAAGACGGCATGTTTATTTGGATTATTTCAAATTTCAATGGGTATAAGATTTTGCATATATCTGTGTTTATCCGTGGTGGAGAAGAGGGGGGGGCTGTCGTGATTTTCCCTAATCAAAGGCTGCAACCCTGGTCAAAAGTAAGCTTTTATTGAATGCAAAATGGTATCGAAAATGGAGTGGAACTGGAAATTTAGCCTTTCATTGAGGATTGGAAGACCAGGGTTTGAACTGATCCCTTAAAAAAAGCAATATGCCTATCAAAATGTTTTACAAAACATTAAAAAAAGCCAATGACGATAAAACAATATAAAAAAAAGATTCAAAATTGTTGTTATACTTTTTGCAGCTTTAAAAGTAAGAACTCAATAAATGATGATTTGCAAGTCCAGCACAGTCTCTTCCTTGATTCTAGACAACAACATATACTTATTGAATTTTAGAAATGAAACAACCTTAGCACGTTCGCTACTGCAATAGTACAAAATTTTGCATTCACATGGACCAGCGACGCACATATGCGACGGCCGGTTTCCACTCATAGACTGCCGTCGCATATATGCGACGGTTAGTCACATTAAAATAGACTGCCGTCGCATATTTGCGTCGGTGTTCTAATGTTATTAAAATGCTTATATCTTTGTAACGGTCTATTTGAAGGCACTGAATTCCCTGCAGTGGTCTACAGAGATGTCTGACGCACAACTGCGTCGCTTGGTCTGTGGATATAATGATTGG